TGTAGGACTTTTCAAACATAGTCTCTGGACAATAGTACTGTTTGTCAGGCATCGGGCGTATACAGTTTTGATTGACAAGAGTGTTAAATAAATGGGGGAAGTAGCCTTTCTTTCTTTCAGGAGGCAGATCAAAAGCCTTGGGGAGTGCAGCGGGGGGCCATGGGGAAGTAACTTAGCGAGTCAACAAACCTCATGTTGTCCATTTCCATCCAAATAATTTTTGTACCCCTCATGACCAGTTCAGGGGTGAATTTTGTTCGTTCAAGCATGTACTTAAGCAAAAACTGAAAGGCAATGCCTTGACCATTATGGGCGATTACACAGACATGTTTAAACTGTTTACGGGTTTCCATTACATAGTTCATAAATTGGGTAACCGGGCAGAGTTGAAGACTCTCGTACGGTTTTTACAAGCAATATAAAATTTAGCCTCAATACACTGGTAACAATACTGTTGTGAAACACACAAGTTAACTTTATGTTCTTTCTGGTCAGGAGCAGTGGAGAGTGGCTCATCTTGACGGGTTTCCAAATCAAAAAATATAAACAGATAACCTTTAGATGTAGGTTTACCCTCGTTGGGTTTCATATAAAATTTATGGTTAGGATCCTGAAAAGATTCACAAGGTTTACAATAAACCTCACCACACTTATGAGGTGTGGGTCTTCCCTTAATCATAACCAACTTATCACAATCAAGACACTTTATCACTTTTTTACATTTATCAATTTTGTAGGCTATGAAACACCGTTGATTTCTTAAAATAATATTACATTCTGGACAAGTTACTCCCCCATGTTCTAACTTACAGGGAGGTGAGATGGTCTGACAGTAGCAGCAAATATTGGAACATCTATATCCAATTTTATGATCATAGGGGACATGGCAGGCTTCACAATAATATTTACAGACAAAAGCAGCAGTTAGACTGGTAATGACATTAAAATGACTGTTACAGAAAATCAAGTTAATTTTAGATTTAGCAATCTCTGGACGACCCTCAAAATACACATCACGCCCTTTCCTATCATAATTGTAAACAGTGATTTTATAATTAGTCAACAGATCTTGAAACTTTTCTAGTTCAGGGATTCCAGCACCATTCTCCGGCATTTCTACCCTAGCCCTCCGGATGAGCTCTTGCGCCATCACTGTCTGCCTTTTCCTATCATCTTGGCGAATCGCTTTATATAGAGGATCTTTAATTGCATGAGCAACAGCTACCACCAAGGCACGAGGGAAACAAAATTATCTTTATTATTTATCACTACAATACCAGTCCTAGCCTTACATTCCTCATTAAAAGTATTATACAATCCAGGTCTTTTACGGGTACCCGAACCTACAGGGAGATTCACTCGCGTACACTCAACTTTAAAGGTGTCCGTTGACTTGATAGATTCGGAATTACTTTGTACAATATCCCCGAAAATCTGCCACAACACATCTTCATCAATTTCCCCAGCAGGTCGAAACGCTACATATCCATCTTTACCTTTAAGATTAAGGCTTTGAAGGGTAAACCCGAGCCGGTCGTTATCATGGGCCTGATCTTTAATCTTTTTTACAATTGAAGCAAATCCCTGTCTCAGCCAATCAAACTCACTAGTTTCAGGGGGAGGATTAGAAAATTTAAATATAGTCTTGGTCCCATAAAGTCTAAATTTCTTAACATAGGACTGGTCCTCACTAATAGTTTCAACTGGCTCAACAGCAGAAGCCGTTACAACGAATATTAAGGAAAATCTAAATAACACTACTATTTACAAACATAATTAATACACCATATTTAAAAGAAAACTTAATATTACTACTCACAACAATAACCTTTTTACAGAAGAACACTACACACAATTCAGCAAATGTCACAGAACAAAAGAACTACACCTATGAACACCGCCAAAGTAAGAGTGAACTAGGATTTTTAATTCTCTCACAAATATATCCTTCAACCAATCACAGATCACCTATTTATAGCCTATCAGGTACAAGCTCATTTTAACCACTCACAGAGCACCTGATTCAAATATTTTGACCCGTTAATACTACAGTCACCTATTTATAACCAATCAGAGACAAGCTTATTTCAGCCAATCAGAGAACACCTGATTCAAATATTTTTGTCCGTTAATTTCAATACCACAGTCACTTATTTATAACCAATCAGCCTCTTGGCTCTTGGTTGGGGGACGAGCTTCTTTTCAACCAGAGAGCACCCAAATATTTTTACCCATTCAATAGCAAGATAATTCATAAATCATAGAGAAACACCAAAGAAAAATTAAATATTATAATTATTAAATATATATTAACTTAAGAGTACACAGTCTTCAACTCCCTTCAAAAACAACAACCCCACCCAAAACCCACCCCCAACACTAAATCCACCCCTATAACCACCCCCAACTCTAAAAATCCACCCCTAAAACCACCCCTAATCCAAAAAACCACCCCTTATAAAAAAACACCCCTAAATCAACCCCTTTAATCCACCCCTAGGCAACACGAAACACACCAAAACTATACCTGCTAGATCGGGGCGACTTCTACTCAGAGTCATTATTGAATTTCATTATTGAGTTTTAAGGGATAATAAGTTAAGAGTGCAGCAGCCATTGTTTTTTTTTTTGGGAAAAGTCAAATATTATTGAAAGTTGAGATAGGCAGCAGGTTCGACTTGATACAAAGGTGTTAATTGGGGTAGTGTGTGTTTCACAATAGATGTACTGCCATAGTATTCTTTAGTTATAAAATAAATAATCTTTCACTACGTTTTACTGCGTTTAAACAGAAATACTTTTTAACCGGGTCGGACTACGAGATACGATCTTCAATTTTTAAGTCCAACGAAAGGATTTGTGAATACTCATCTCAAAATAAAGTAAATTATCACACCTCAGTTGACATATTTGGGGTCAGTGTGTAACCGCGCCATTATATTTCTCTTTCAAGAGGTTTATTAACAATTTTTGGAGTAAAGAGATCTTTGATTGGTGCATTCGATTTTTGAGACTTGAAACATATTTTTATTGTTGATAGAGTCAAGCGTAATATTCAAACTAACATATCTAAGTCAGTTGTCATCTCTGTCGTTTTTGTTCAATAAATCAAATTGTTACTCACTATTTAGTTCTCAATAACCTTGATAATTCGTTATTAGCAGTAATAGTTATTCAATAGAAGTGTGCTATAATACAGTAAATAAAAGACCACTACAAAAGATTCACCTTTTAAGTGCAACACTAAACACTAGTGTGGTAGTGAGCAGAGTAAATTCAGTGTAACTTTAAGATTATTTATTAAGTTTCATATTAGTCTGGAAGAACTTCAAACAGTATCAGGGACGTCCCAAAAGGATCTCTGGGAAGTATTTTTATTTTACAGGGCCCACAAAATATTTTTTGACATCAAGCTTCCACTGCAAAAAGCTCTGTCTGATATTATTACTTTCCAAGTTCTTCAAACCCAGGGGCAACCAAGATTTGTAAAGAATTCACTATTGAGAGCACTGCAAGGAGTTAAATATAATTATTTAAATACAATATTTAAATATATAAGTCAATATTTTTTTATTTTTCTTTACAACTTGGAAAACAAACACATGTATTCCGAAATGGTAAATTCAGTATCCTCAACAATTGCCTTACATAACATATATTTTATAGTATGTCTTTTATCTAGATGTCAGACAGTAATATATATAGAAAAAAATCATGTTTCAATGTCCATTCCAATTTTAACGCTCTATCTACCATAAATTATTTCCATTTTTCATCAAACCAGTTTCATAACTTTTTTTAAGCATTTTCCTTAACAGTTATTTTCAGATAAAACTTCAAAGACGAGGAATCACAGAAACGAAGAGAAAGAAGACGATTTGAACACCTCTACAAGCACAAATCCACAGTAGGACACAGTGTTTAGTAACCCCAAAGAGCATGGTTGGCTGTTGGCTAAATTCAAAGGAAGAAGGAATAATCAATACTGTATTTGTGTAGTGGAAAATGTCACTGACGATGGCCTTCATGTGCATTGTGCTAGAAACGTGGGTAACATGACTTTCAAATGGGCAGAACCAAATGACAAATGTATAATAGACTATGTGTTACGTATGAGTGTATTTATTTAAAAATTGAATATTAAAAGTGATTATTCATAGGTAAATTACGAAGGACCACCGCAAATTACATTGCGGAAAATAATAAGAAACTTGAAAACATGTACCTTTACAAACTCCAGTGCAGACGTAGGGGGAAGTGGGAAAGATGGCGTATTTGAACTTCAGATTAGTGTCGGCGCTGTGACAAACCCTTGGTAGTTGGATGTTGGATGAGACGATTTTCGCTCTTCTTTCTGCTTGAAGGCTTGATGTTCGCACGTAACGCTAAGTCTTTTATTGTTCGTGGCCACTTTAATTACACGGAAGTCGCGACACCGCACAGGACACTTTGATTACTTGATGGTGCATGATTCGTGAGTTAATAAAACGCAAATAAAAATACTACTTGTCACTAAAACAACAAAAATAACTTCAGAATAAGATTGGGCAATATTAATTGCAATAAAAATGAAAACTGAAACAACTTGATGAAATAATGTAAATGGAAATGAGATTAAAAGAGGTGGCCGGTACTAGACCATATTAATAGGGCCGTAGACAGAGAGAGAATGACCAGGATACCTGTCTGAGGCGAACGACAAGCGATAAGGACAATGACATGAATAGAGCGATAAGATTGTTGTCTGAAGATAAAATGGACTTGGGTTCTGTGGCTTTGGTGTTTGGCATTACCATTTGTTTTTAATATAAAATAAATATTCTTCTTTTGAATTAATATAAAGTTAATAGTTCCTTTTTCCTTCTAAATACTAAACATACAGGGGGCCTTGAATCCTCCAGGATTCAACAAATCAACACAAAGATAATATTCCAATAAAATAAATCTTCTTTCCAAAGTGGTTGAGAAAAAATACTATTTACAAATTAAAGTTCTTGAAGTTACTCTTGATAAGCAGGCAAAGGAAAAACCTTGTGAGCTGGTCGAGTCAAGAGTCCTTGTTGAGTTTTCAAGTGGACGACCCGTAAAACCTCATCCTTTCCAGGGGAGACACCCACAATCCGAGCTAACGGCCAAGAAAGAGGAGGAGTAGGCTGATGTACTAAGGCGAGGTCACCAATGCGAAGATTGGAATTTTGTTCAGTCCATTTAACCCGCTGATGGAGGGTGTGAATGTACTCCAGTTGCCATCTCTTCCAGATGCGTTGATTTAGGGCCTTGACCAAATGCCAGTGTTTCAGGCGATTATCAGGAACATCTTCCAGATTTTCATCAGGAACATCTTCCAGATTTTCATCAGGAACAGAGACAAGTGGAGCTCTGACCAAGAAATGTCCTGGAGTGAGCGCAGTGACATCTGAAGGGTCGTTTGACATTGGTGTGAGAGGTCTCGAATTAAGTATCGCCTCCACTTGAGTAGTCAGGGTCATGAACTCTGAGAGGGTTAGGACATGTTCGCCGATGACACGGCGGAGGTGATGCTTGGCACTCTTAACGGCTCCTTCCCAGAGACCACCTTGGTGAGGAGCAGCTGGGGGGTTGAAATGGAAGGTAATGTCTTGGTTTGAGGAAAATTCAAGAAAAGATGTTCGTTCAGCTGACTTGAAGAGAGCTTGAAAGGCGTTATTAGCACCAACGAAGTTTGTCCCGCAGTCCGAATATATGTTCTTGCAGAGGCCACGTCTTGACACAAAACGAGTTAGTGCAGCAATGAAGGCATCAGTTGATAGGTCGATAGCTACTTCAATGTGAACAGCCTTTGTTACAAGGCAGACGAAGATACAAATGTACGCTTTTGTCAAACGTATTGAACGGAGGTTATGAACCTTGATGTTGAAAGGACCACCGTAGTCCAGCCCCGTGTTGAGAAATGGACGAGAAGGTGTCACTCGGGATTTTGGGAGATCACCCATCAGTGGAATTTTATTATGTGGTTTGTGTCGAAAGCAGATGACACACTTAAAAATTCGAGAGCGTATTGCGCTGCGGGCAGAAAGAATCCAAACGCTCTGAGCGAGAAGGGATTGAGTTAATTGAGGCCCTGAATGCAAATATTTCTGGTGATAGAAATCAATAAGAATGTCAATCACATGATGTTTCTTAGGTAGAATTACAGGATGCTTAACGTCTTCTGAAAGTTGAGATGCATTCAATCGTCCACCAACACGAAGTAAACCTGATTTATCAATGAAAGGATGGAGACGTCGAAGTGATGAATTGGTTTTAGATAAGTTGTTCTTCAACGCTGCGATGTCATCTCCAAAACCGTTTCTTGAACCTTCTTGAAGATTGTCAGTCGACTTTGAGTTAACTCAGATGAGGTGAGAGGGCCTGAGCACCTTTTTGAGTGCCGGAGGTTATAGATGAATCGTAAAATGTAACCCATCACTCGTGCAAGTTTGCTGAAGTGAGAGAATCTAGTGAGGAGTTCCCATTCTTGAGTGGGTTTTATTGTAGATATAAGAGTGGTAGGTGACTGAGGTTTATTTTCTCCTGTTTTTGTAATATCTAGAGGAGTAAAGTTTGAGGATGGCCAAGATTCACTCGAATATTGAAGCCATGGGGGACCAGACCACCAAAGTTCATGGTTAGACAATTCTGATGGGAGGATACCTCGTGACGCGCAGTCAGCGGGGTTATATTCACTGGATATGTGTCGCCAGCAATGATTAGGTACTAATTCTTGCACCTGCGCAACCCTGTTCCCAACAAAGGTCTTCAATCGATGAGGTGGTGTCTGCAGCCAAGTTAGGGTGATAGTAGAGTCACACCAGAGAATGATGGATGAAATCTTTAATTTTATCTTGTAAATAGAAACCACATAGGCTACTATCTGGGCAAGAAGATGGGCGGCGCATAGTTCCAAGCGTGGAATTGTAAGTTTTTTCAAGGGAGCAACCCGAGTCTTTGACATAATCTGTCTGATTGTGACAGTCCCATCACTGAGTTCACAGCGCAAGTAAACAACTGCAGCATAACCATTCTCGGAGGCATCTGAGAAGCCATGTAATGCAGTAGTGCATGCTCGTGACACTTGAAGAGCTCGAGGAATTGAAATCTTTCTCAGGCTGTCTGTAGATGAAGTGAAACTTTGCCACATTTCGAGTAGGGCAGCCGGAAGTGTTTGATCCCAATCCAATCCTTTGGTCCACAAGAGCTGCATAAAACGTTTTGCCCACATAACAATTGGGGAGAGGAAACCACAGGGGTCATATATTTGTGCAATCACACTGAGCACCTGACGCTTTGTAGTTGCGCTTGCGGAAAAATTAAAATTGTATGTAAAACAGTCAGTAACTGGAGACCAGTGAATGCCTAAAATGGTGTGATAAGGCTGTGAACTATCTTGAAGGAACACCGGAGTCTCTCGATGACCATCTGGAAGGTCTAGAAGAAGTCGACTGGAGTTGGAAGTCCATTTCCTTAGCTCAAAGCCTCCACGTGCTAATAGGGCGATGAGTTGTCTCTGGAGTCTTAAAGCTTCTTCTTCGGAATCTCCACCAGAAATCACATCGTCAACGAAGGTTTGTGTTCGAAGAATCTCTGCCGCTTCAGGGAACGAGTCGCCTTCATCATTGGCAAGTTGGTGCAAAGTCCTGATTGCGAGGTACGGTGAGCAATTGACTCCATAGGTTACTGTGGTAAGTCTGAAGGTAGAGGGTGGTTGATCTGGACGAGTATGCCATAGGATATAGTGAAACTTCTGGTCCTCAGAATGGACTTTAATCTGTCTGTACATCTGCCTTATATCACATGAAAAAACTACACTATGAGTTCTAAACATGAGCAACAAGTCACAAATGTTGGTTTGCATTTTTCTTCCTGTAAGCAAAATATCATTGAAAGATGTACCATTGGAGGTTTTTGCACTAGCATCGAACACAGTACGTAGTTTAGTGGTACTGGATGATTCCTTCAACACCCCATGATGAGGTAAATAGTAATGCGGGGCGGATAAGTCAACATTATGAGCAAGTTCCATATGTCCCGAAGACGAATAATCAGACATGAAGTCGAAATATAGAGATTTGAATTGAGGTTGAGCCTTAAACTTTTTCTGAAGTGAGTGTAGTCTTTTCTCGGCAGCAAAGACAGAATTTCCTAGAGCAGGGTGTTCAGTCTTGAACGGTAGTCGGACGCAATATCTGCCAGATTGGTCCCGAGAGTGAGTGGAGAGGAAGTGTTCTTCACACATTTTATCATCATCTGATTGCTTTGATGCGACTGGTGGCTCCTCCTGGTGCCAAAACCGCTGGATAGAATTGTGCAGTTCAATGTCATTGACTGCCAAAAGCATGGTTGACATGTGAGAACTAGTGTCATCATCCAGCTTGATTGCACAGGGTGCGTCACCCATTACCAAAAATCCAAAGTGTGAGCCTATTAAACTTGGTAGGTTAGGCCCGAGGTTGTGAACTGCTTGAGTGAGCATGAGAGGGAAAAGTGATCCACCTAAAAGAACATCTATCCCACCAGGTAAATGGAACATGGGATCAGCCAAAACGTAAGAATTTACCATCTCAATGACACCAGAGGATATAGGCATGCGGGGTAAATCAACACATATTTTATCAAGAATTAAAAAGTTTGATTCAGTAGAGATAGTTTTTCCATTCAATGTCTCTACCTTGAGAGAAGTGGCACCTTTACATCGAGTAGGTATTTGAGAGAGGCCTACTACACTAGGCGCACTTTTTGTGCGTGAGACACATAAAAGTTGAGCAGCATGTTCTGTGAGAAAACATGATTGACTACCAGAGTCAGCGAGAGCTCGAAATACATGGCTAACTCCGGTGGGCGATACCAGCTTCACAAGTAAAGTTCCCAACAACACTGTTGAGGGATGATGTGTTGTGGAACATCTTTCTTGACTAGTCAGGGCTGATGAGAGTTGAGATGATGAATTTTCTTGATGAGCTGAGGAAGAATCACGAGTTGAAGTCTGAGGCGTAGCCTGGTTAGATGATTGACGAGGTTTACCATAAAAATGTAATAAAGTATGATGATTCTGATGGCATGTGTAACAGCTCGACTTAGATTTACAGTCACTCAGTAGATGATTCCCTAAACACGATGTGCACCGCTTATTCTCCTTTACGATCTGGTAACGGGCCTTAGGATCCTTATCTTTAAAGACCGAGCATGTATACACCTTATGATCAATTTTGTTGCATACAAAACATTTAGTGTACTTAGGGTAGGATTTGCTTTGATCACCAGAATGATAAGTCAGCATAGACACCTTATTACCTACCGATGATTTGTTGAATCTTGAGTTAATATATGAATTATCAGATGTTGTTTTCACATTATGACTGCTGTGGAGGTTTGCTTCTTCAATTTGATTACATTCTTTAGTGAGAAACTGAATTAACATTAGGTAAGGCAGGGTTATCACCATCACTGTCAGTGGGGTTATTAATTGCACGAAAAATCTCAAATCGTTTCCTTAAATCACTATCCAGTTTTCTCAAAAGCATGGCAGACAAAAGGTGATTATTTTTTGTAGCAATTTCACTATTTAAGCCTTTGAGTGCTTGAATGTTTTCATTATATACATTTACAAATTTTCTCATTTGTTTTGAGGTGTGATTTACTGAGGGTAAGTCAAGAATCTGATTTAAGTGCAGAGTAACTAATCGTCTAGGCGAATGATACCGCTCTTTCAACAAATCATAGGCTACTGTGTAGTTTGCATCAGAAATAGGCAGGGATTTAATTAAATTCAAGGGTTTCCCAGAAACAATGCCTAATAAATACTGAAATTTCAGCACATCAGACAAAGATGAGTTTTTATGAATGCTAGAATCAAACAAATTTATAAAGGACACCCACTCCAGAGGTTCACCACTGAAATGTTTAAGTTCAAGCTTGGGTAAGCGTACAACCGAAGGTTGTGGAGTCGGAGTCTTATCACTTTTATTTTTTGAGGATTGAAGTTTACTTTCAAGGTTGGCAACATTGGCATTAATGTAGTCAATTAATTCATCAACACTATTTAGAGGAGCATAGTTGGGTTGAAAGTTAGGATCTTTTGCTAATTCAAGTTCATGGCAGGCATCTAAAGCCTCAGAGAAATCATCTCGGAGTTTATTTACAGACTTAGCCCGAATCAAAAACCTTTGCTGAATATCCTTATCAGACACTTTCTTGGACAAATCATATATCATCTGAATTTGAGTGAAGGCATTATCCTTTCTTGCATTTACAACAGCAAGGGAGGTAGCCATGGTTGCCTAGCTATCTTCTGTTTTTACCTTAATTTAGGCCTATTTCCAAAAATTGAGAGTAAATATTAATAAATTGCTATATCTTAGTGAGCACTGAAGGTTAGGTTCATGAACCAGTAAATAACCAGCTTGGTTTGTCTTTATAAAATAATAAAGCATAGGCTATGATGATAAAAATATAATAAAGTTGTCCAAGTGTAGTACTGTAGGCCTAACTATTTAAACTTGGAATAATTAGTTATATTTCAGTAAATAGGCCTACTTACAGCCACAGTCCAAAACATGACAGTATTTCATTATTCAAATCAATCAGCAGAAAGTCCATTTTCTTCTTGTATAGATTATTCAATTTTATTTTGTAACACTTAAGTTGAAAAAGTAGAAAATATTCTCAACCCATTAACTAAAATACATTTCACTTTATAAGTCCACTACATAAAGTAAAAATAATGCCAAACTAACCACTGCCACTTTGAAGTTGAAGTTTGGTCGGCAAAATGAAAATGTAAACAAACAAGATAATGACAGTTAACGATCAGCTGATCGTTGCAGAAAATATTGGAGTTTGCCGAAACAGCTGCAAAGCAGCGCCTATGCAAGACGCGGAGAGTTAGAGAACTAATATTGCATGTAATGCAAATGCACACTGGGAATATTGTTGTGACAATATGATTGGCTGAGCTGGAACAGGTTATGTGCGCGCATGCGCCGAGTGGTATGATTTAAAACATGACATGGACATGAACTAACTGAACACTGACGGACTGACGTCACTGACTGGACAGAATGGCAGAATGTCAGTCAGAAAGAGAAAGAGAGATTCAAAATGGCGGAAATGAGCAATGGATATATTTCCATAAAACTGGAAAATGATATGGCTCGAAATGACCAAATGTTACGTATGAGTGTATTTATTTAAAAATTGAATATTAAAAGTGATTATTCATAGGTAAATTACGCAGGACCACCGCAAATTACATTGCGGAAAATAATAAGAAACTTGAAAACATGTACCTTTACAAACTCCAGTGCAGACGTAGGGGGAAGTGGGAAAGATGGCGTATTTGAACTTCAGATTAGTGTCGGCGCTGTGACAAACCCTTGGTAGTTGGATGTTGGATGAGACGATTTTCGCTCTTCTTTCTGCTTGAAGGCTTGATGTTCGCACGTAACGCTAAGTCTTTTATTGTTCGTGGCCACTTTAATTACACGGAAGTCGCGACACCGCACAGGACACTTTGATTACTTGATGGTGCATGATTCGTGAGTTAATAAAACGCAAATAAAAATACTACTTGTCACTAAAACAACAAAAATAACTTCAGAATAAGATTGGGCAATATTAATTGCAATAAAAATGAAAACTGAAACAACTTGATGAAATAATGTAAATGGAAATGAGATTAAAAGAGGTGGCCGGTACTAGACCATATTAATAGGGCCGTGGACAGAGAGAGAATGACCAGGATACCTGTCTGAGGCGAACGACAAGCGATAAGGACAATGAAATGAAATGAAATGAAATGAATTTTTATTTTCCTTTAAGCATTGTACAAATGCAATGGGCATCGTCAACAAAAAATACAATTGTCAATATATACAGTCATTATGCAAAAACTTAACCTAAGAAAAACCAAGCAAACACAGCACGCAAAAAAGGCTTATATACTCACATTTGCTCGAATGTCAGGTAGCTCAAGAATCTGACTCTTTGAAAAGAAAAAGTACAGAAACAAATACAGTTTGCATCTTAACAAAGCACACCATGCAGACAAAACCATGCAGCTAACTACAAACCCAAATAAATAAAAAGCAAACTGCAAACATCACTCAAGTCTTAAAAAAGCTACTTACAATATTACTTGGGATTTTATAAAACTCCTGGACTGAGAACAATGGGTGTGCCAGCAACAGGTTTCTCACACTTGTTTGGAAGGTTTTTTGAGACTGGTTCCGTGCCTCTGTTGGCAGGTGATTGAACAACTTTAATCTAGTGACCTCCTGATTTGACTGAACTACTTTTAATCTTACATATGGGACATCAAATTTGTTCTTATTTCTAGTGTTATGACAGTGTACATCTTTTCTACTGACTAAAGTACCTTGGCATTTTTTAGCTGAAAGCAAAAGCAGAAATACATATAAGCTATAGACAGTCATGATGGCTTCATTAATAAACAGTGGTTTACTGTGTGCAAGGTAGTCAGCACCAATTAATCACTATTAAGTCATTAAGTCACTCATTAAGTCACAATGACATGAATAGAGCGATAAGATTGTTGTCTGAAGATAAAATGGACTTGGGTTCTGCGGCTTTGGTGTTTGGCATTACCATTTGTTTTTAATATAAAATAAATATTCTTCTTTTGAATTAATATAAAGTTAATAGTTCCTTTTTCCTTCTAAATACTAAACACTATGATCAAATTGAAAAAAAAAACCTTCACCAACTTTTACGTACAAAAATAAAAGGATGGTCTCATTTAAATTTCCGATTGACATCTCAGGTTCCATAACACTCCCAGTAAGTAGTTTTTATTGTAATTTTGTATATACGTTAGGCAGTGTAATTTTGTGTGTAGGTTCTAATCCATGGTATCTCCAGGAGTTTTTTTCATTTTTTAATTTTGATTTTTAATGTATATTTTCCCATAGAAAACCCATAAAATAACGGAAAAATAGGATTTTCTCAAAAGTGGCCCGTACGATTTTGAAAAAAAGTTAGTATGTTGTGGCCCTTTAAATTCTGAACAAAATGGTATAAACCCCATTTCTGTAAAAATTACGGTTAGAAAGTTATTTTAAATGATGTAATTTTCCCATAAAAACCCCCACAAAATAACAAAAAAATAGGATAAAAAAGCCGGTTTCGATTTAACTTAGTATGTTATGTTCCTTAAAATTTTGAACGTGTTTTTCACCTTTTTTTAAACTTGGATTTTTTATGGGGATTTTCCCATAAAACCCCATAAAATAAAGAAAAAATCTGATTTCCTCGAAAATGGCCTGAACGATTTTGACAAAATTAAGGATGTTATAGTCCTTTAAATTCTGGACAGAATGGTAAAAATCCTATTTCCGTAAAAATTGCGGTTCAAAAGTTATTGTAAAGTATGTTATTTTCCCATAAAAAAAAACATAAAATACAAAAATAAATCGGATTTTTGGAGAAAAGCTGGTTTTGGTCAAAATTAATTTGTTATCGGTCCATATAATTCTTATATAAAAAAATAGTACAGCACCCCATTGCTGTAACAATTATGGCTAAAAAGTCATATCTTATTTACTCTCACCATACCTATGATAAAGGTTGTTGACAAGCTAATGGGAGAAAGTATGCGCCAGAAAGCTGATACCGTTTATTAGTTTTACATATCTCTTCAAGTACATTGCACAACTTTAAGGTTTACCAATTTCTTTTTTCTATATGAACGCTTGGTCTACATTTTTTATTTAAGAACTGCATTTTTCACAATGCACCTGAGTAAAAATTATATTTTTAGTCTTGAATCGCAAACATGTTTATTAGAAGTTATTTTACCTTCATTTTGACAAGCAATACCTTTACCTCCATTAAGGGTGGAATGTTCCCCTATATTAGAAAGCCCTGGTGTTATTTCACAATTTTTTTTTTTCTTTACAATTGAAAATAGTTTTGTCATAATTAGTTGTTACAGTCCTCAAGTGCTGTGAGAACTCTTTTCATTGAATTCATTTTATATGTAGGTAAGTCAGTCTCTGTTTTTCTGTGGGCTTAGTAAAAATTAATAATTAAACCCTTACCTGAGTTGCTCTCTTGTTCATCTATATCAAAAGCCCTGGTGTTATTTCACTTAATTTTTTTAATACAACTGTAGTTAGCAACAAATACAGCTATTTTGTTCACAATATTAGGCTGATTAAGGTGAATTAATTCATGTATTGTTTATGAATTAAGCAAAATAGTTTTCTCATAATTAGTTGTTTCAGTCCTCAAGTGTTGTAAGAACTCTTTTCATTGTATTCATTTTATATGTAGGTAAGTCAGTCCCTGATTTTTCTGTGGGTTTAGTAAAAATTAATAATTAAACCCTTAGCTGAGTTTTTCTCCCTCTACATTAGAAACCCTGGTGTTATTTCACCTAATTTTTTTGGCTTTACAATTGTAGTAGAAAAAAACGGCTATTATGTTCACATTTTAAACTGATTAAGGGGTGTTTGGGCTATCCTTAAAACATATCCTGCCTGAACTCTAGTGGAAAATTAGCAAACTATTTTGTGAGGTTCAGTGTGTTGATTAGTGCTGCCATCAAGTGGAATAATTTAAAACTACCTTATCTGGGGAGGTACATCCACTTTCTCCTTCTCTTTTCCAACCATGACTTGAAGCAAGCAACATGTCAGGAGTTCTTTCCTATTGTATATAATTTAAATGTTAAGTAAATTGAAAGTAGTGTTTTCTTTTTTATAATTCTACATGTGAAAGTGGGTAAGATCTCTCCAGTTTTTTCTCTCAAGTGAACAGTGAACAATAATTATTCCTTTTTTTCAAAGACAGACAAATCAATAGACAATTAGGCCACTTTCCATCTATTTCCTTTCCCAAAGCCTCAAACATAAGATTAATTGGTAAAGTTATTATACTAATCTGGCCAGATATTATGTACCATAATTAAAAATAGTTTATTAAAGCAAGAATAATTATGTAAATGTACCAAAATGTTAAAAAGGTAACATTTCTGAAGAACAGCGAAAATGTGTTTTTGATAGCTTTTGGAATCTTGGCAGCTGGGATCTCCAGACCTCGTATTTATCTTCTGCAATAACGCTAGAAGAGCCGGTAAGATAATTTGCAGTCACTTCTTCCCTATGTCCCTCCGATCTACCATGCTTTTTTAACAGTCTTCAATTCGCTGGTGCCCCAGATGGAAATGCCATTAACCAGGATGAAGCTTTGGACGAGAATGAAGCTGCACAGAACATCTTTGACAGCGACACTGAACCTCTGGACTAGTGAAGAA